AAAAGAAAAGAAAATGAGAGAGTCACAAAGAGGTGTTAGCTTCTAAATAAACACTAAATTAAAAAATCCAACAATAGCAAAATTGAGATCTTAGATATCTCAAAATACACTAGATTATATACAAGATCAACTATTTGTTTTTTTAATCATAATATAATATTGTGTTGTTGATATGATCTTTTAAATCTACAACATGTGTTCTTATTGTTCCATTACCATAATACCCTTTCTGATTTGTTTTGTATAAGATGCTCTCATCCAAGGACATCAACTTCGTCGGATACACTTACAAGAACTTCGAAATTGTCAATGATTATCAATTGCCTGGGATGGGTACGTCCTCTAACATAAAGTTCAAAATATTTACCTTTTGTACTGACCAGCAGATTTTGGCAACTTATCATTTATGTTGATATTTTTGGGAGTTTTAGTGATCTTTTGACTCTTGAATTCTGGGTCAACGCTCTTGTTACTACATATATTCTAATTCTACTTTTGTCGTTTTACCCTCATAACAGCATGTGAATGCAGTGCTGCACAGCGTTCGAAACTTTAGTGTATTATCGGGATAGTAGGAGGATATGTTGGTCAAATTCTATTTATTCTGTGAATATTAGTTAGTTAGTGCCACACAGTATCTATTAGGAATTAGGAGGGTATGTTTCTTGTTAGAATGGATAGCTGTGAAGAGTGGTTATAAATACAATGAGTTGAGGCCAACCTGAACATAGTTCAATGGATTAAGGTATATATCCTCGATCAAAAGATCAATCGAATCATCGCCCCCACATATTGTTCAACTAAAAAATGGAATGACTCGAGGGTTTAGAGTATGCAAAATTTGGATAGTAGTTTCTCAGGAGAGTCCATGCCTCTCGTAGTACCTGGGATAATTTTCCCTTTATCATTTTAATACTATTTTCTATTATTTTCTATTTGGATTTTTGATTCCTATGACACATATTTCACTTAGACATCTTTTCTGTCCAACATGAAATTGTTGAAAGAAATCTCTCCATCTTTCGCGAAAAGGACTTGGAAACATTTTATAAGCTGCATATTTTCAATGAATCTTGAGCTTCCAACTGCAAGTTTACATATTCTGAAAAGGGAGATCACTCATGGAAATCGATCTTTTTTCTCTCTTATAGCTGAATTGAAGAAAAAATGCAGCAAACCAAAAAGACCGTCAATCAAGTCACTCTTTGGTATGCACCAACACTTTTCTTTTCCATTCCACTCACTGTTCACACAACTTATTACCCGATAGTCCCGTCTCTATCTCTATTGCCATTCCAATGCTACCTTACTGATTTGAATAACTGTTTCGAACAGATGGCGAGTCGGAGGCATCAGATGCAGATGCATCTGATGCATCTACTTGTAGTCAGCCCACCGAAGGTAGTAGCTTTTCGCACTCAATGACTTCTCAACTGGATGGATTTGAAAAGAGGAAAGAGTCGATGTAATGTGTTGCTGCTCTGCGTATCATTGGATGAAACAGCGGGAGTTCTGATTCATTAGCTAAATCTCAGTTGGAATTTTTGAGTAACATAGGTCCAATGTAGGACGATGTGTTCTGCATCAAAATTCTTTGAGCGAGTTCGGTTTAACAGAAAAATTAAGTTCAAGCAATGGAGGAGGAGGCGGAATTTTGGTACCTAACATACCTTGGAGTTGACCTGAGCTTTCGTCCGTGGCAGCATTGTTCGTAGTGAGGAGAATAACAGATCTGAAGAAGGTGAATAACAGATCTCAATAGTTATCATATCATTCTTCACCATTGAAGTTTAATATTCTTTTACTTGTCTTATTTTTTCCCACATCTAATTTGGTGGGGTTATATCAACAATCTGTTGTACAAAAAGACACCAAATCGATAGCATATACACCAATATTTCAGTGTATATAATACAAGGCAAAAGCAATTTGTTCCATACCAATTGATTGTTTCTTGTTCAATGAATTATTAGATTAATTTACTTGGTCTGTGTTCGGTTTCAATTTGAACCTTACGATTAGTTGAATCCCTTTAGACATTTTTATCGTTACTACATTTTAATATGGTGTATTTTGTTTAGACGTGTTAGAATTGACGTCTAAAGTATATTTGACAGAGATGGTTTAGGAGATTTAACCAAATCATAGGAACTAAATAGACACTTTTATAACTATGCATTTCATCCATTTCTAAACATGGGATTTGATCAAACTCTTGTTAGTGAATAAATATTCCAATCTCATGTTTTTTTCAGTTTGAATTTTCTATGTAATCTTGCCCAATTTTTTTACCGCATTGCTTTTAAGTTGTTTGATAATATGGAAAGAATCCTAATAGAAGTCACGAATGTTCCAAACTTGAAATAAAACGTAGATTCTTGGAGAACTAAGAAGCATACCTACTTCAATTTGGGTAACATATGTGTCTGACATGTGTCTAACGCTCGATCACTACGATACTTATTAGACACATATCAAATACTTATTTTCCCAATAAACGTGCATCGTACACTAGTTTTACAAAGTAAATATGAATTCGATACTTATTAGACACGTATCAAATTTGCGAGTGAAATACAACAAACTTAATTTTTCTAAGCACATAAAAGCATACGCATATTGACTTCGAATTTCCTTCTGGTATAATAATGATATACTTAAAATTTCTAAAACAGACGTGTAACCGTATTCGTCTCCGTACCTACCTTGATTTTATGGAGATTACATCTATATCAAATTTAGTAAAGCTCGCTAAAGCTATTCAATAGGTACAAAGCCAAAGCTAGATTATATTCAATGTTGATTCATACTATTTTAATGGGCAATAACTCCTTGACCTATCAAACACCAATGAGAGGCATGTACGAGTCATGAGGCTGCACAAAGAAAGAGGACTCATTAGACCTACGAGCATATTTTGAAGATTCTCAAGGGTCAACAAGAACCACCAAAGGCCAAGGGCGTAAGTGCACATGTGCGTATCAACGTCCAGCCCTATCGCACATGCCCTACCGCGCGTCCATGCCAACACCTTCCGTTGCACGCCCCTGCCTATGAGCACCACACATGCGCTTGCGCCCCTACCAAGCACCTATGCACGCCCCCAGCGCCAGTGTCACCTCCCCGCATCTGCCAACGCCCCTGCCGCTGAGCTGCTCGCGCCCCTTTTGCTTCCCGCCTAAGCCTTAGCCACCAACACTTTTAAGTAGAAAGCTTTTTTACTTTAAATGGAAGACCATGGATAATTTATCTTAGATTTTATTTTATTTTATTATTATTTTATTTTGCCTTTAGCTCTTATTTAAGAATTATTTTTTAGGAAAATATTTGGAGATTAGGGAAATATGTTTTAATATTTATTTTAGAGGGAATTACAAAAATAGTACAAAAAAATATGTATTTGTGTATATAGAATTAGGTTTAAAATTTTACAAAAATTGTAAACTTATACAATGTGCTGAGACCCATCAAAAGTCACCATTGTGACATTTTTGAAAAAAAAGAACAAAAAGTAATGATATTTTTATAAATACATATTTATTTTTCGCCATTTAGTATAATTTCTCTTTATTTAAATTTCTTTAGTTAAGATTTTATTTTGTCTTATTTTTTCCTTGTATTGGTCGTTGGTCTTGGCCTAGGCTCCCTTGCAGTCTTTTGGAGATAAGTTTGCTTTAAATAAAAGTTAAAGGTTTCTCTTCCTTTTGCTGAGGGCAAAACTCCTAGTCTATTCCTCTGCGTATGCAACTTTGGATGTATTACTAAGAAACATTTTTTTTTATTAGTCATCAAACTTGTGGATTGAGTATTCTGTCTACGCTCGCAATTTAACCATCTAAAGATAATTTATCTAACTTTTCACGTTTGAGTTGAACTACTTATTCGATAGACTCTAATACTTAGTTATTTGATTGTCCATACACTTAGTTAGATTGTTGCGTATCATTTGATTATTGGTGCATAAATTTGGTTTAATGGAATTGTCAAATTCACATCACACTTCTTAGAATTAAAGGATTTGACTAAACCTATAAAACAAAGTAGATTGTCGAGGTGTGGTGAAACTTTGTAGTAATAATTATGGTTTTTTTTGTAGTGTACCTTGACTATGAGTTCGGTACATTAGGATATCTTCTATATTTAAACTCCTTAGATCTTAAGATATCGAATTTGACCACTTGGTTAATCGATGATTGAGATCTCAAGATTTCGAATTTGACCACTTGTTAATCGATGATTGAGAGAATCATCAAACTCGAGGCGTCCTCGGACTGTCTAGTCGAACCTTGGTCTAGTCGGCTTAAAGTGGGTCATGACCCTAAGTCGACCAAGCCAGTCATGGGTAGGTTGGCCCACAATCTAGTCAACCTAAGACCTAATTGACTCACTTCACTGGCCGTGGCCTTTGGTCCTTGGCTGGTCTATTCAAAGAGTTTAATTCTTCATGGTTCGATCCATCAATTTGTATTTCTAGTCTTGATTCGTATGTCTTAATTTCACCCGTAACAATGATTACACAAAGAATGTATAATCTACTAGGGTGAAACATTCCAAAAATCTTAACCCGTACAAAATTTCTTCTTCATCATTATCATCCTCGTTAACATGTATATTGACACAAGACCGCTAAATACTCAAGAGAGACTAAACAATTGATTTTTCGAATTTTTGTCAAAAATAGGACAAAATTAGAGAGGTTGAAGCGTTTTGAGACAAACTTATTCAAAAGACGATTAGAACTTTTTAGACGTGAATTTACATGATTATCCCTAAACTTAAAAGGCTTCAAAAAGGAAAAAAAATATATATATATTAAGCTCTATTGTCCCTTGAAAAAAGGTATGTCATAAATTAGTAAATTTTGTCCAAATCAAGGCCAAAGAAATAAAATAAGATACGTTGATTTACTATGATAAAATAAGAACTTAAAAAAAGATCATATTATTTGTCTTTTGAGTTCAACAAATTATAGGAGTGGAAGTGGAAGATGGAACAATCGACTTTTAACAATAATAATAATATGTGTCTTTAAGAATAATAATATGTGTCTTATTTACTAATTTATGCTCGAATTGACATCATGTTCTTAGTTTTAAATTGTGTAAAAGTCATAAAAGTGTAACTTAGCCAATGACTTTATTGTTTTGTTGGGAGAAATTAATTGTTACCCAAAACTTTTTTGTTGTTCAATAGTTGATGTTAATTTCGAGGTCGAACTCATGTGGACATATGAAAATGTCGACTTGTCTCTAATTCCTTGATCACACTTCAATATTTCTTTTTATGCTTGAAAGTCGAAGCTACGAGTTGATCTATTTATAGAAAAATAAGAAGAGAAAAAAGAGAATAATAAGAGACTACAAAGTAGTTCATGAACGTTGATGGTGATATCTATTTAGTTTTTGAATTTGTAAAAAATAAATAAATTATAGCTCTAGATGTTTATAAGTGAAGTAATAATAATGATTCAGTATGTAGCATGAAGGAGTAGACTAATAAAATTAGTATTTTACTATCTTTTAAGTTTAAAATTCTTATTATTAATAATATTATGTGTATTGATGATATTTTCTAGTATAACGTTAATTTTTGTGACAATGAAAATATCGATTCACCCTTACGATATATTGAACCTATAAATATATGAAAATGTTGATGAAAATTTAATACCCTCCTGACTACAAGTTTGAACCTAAGGATCCTACCCTTCAAGCCATTCACTCAATTTTCACACACCACAGCATTATGAACCAAACAAAAACTACATAAATTTAAGCTTCTATGTAATTGAATACATAAAACACAAATCCGAACTTCTAATATGTCAACCGAAGTATAATTCAGTTTGTTAAAGTATATATCCTTAATGAAAAGATTGTGAATTCGAATCCTTACCACCTCAACCATTACAATAATCAACCCCACAAAAAAAGAAAAAAAATCAACTATAAGAAGACCTATAACTAATCACAAATCTTAAAGAAACTTAGAGACTAAATTGTTACTTTAATGAAAGTACAGGGACTAAATCGTTACAAACTAAAGTTTGGAAACTAAATTGTTACTTTAGTAAAAGTACAGGGACCAAATGTGTTTTTTAACCGAGAGAGAGAAACTTGTCTAATCGAGGGTCTCAATCGAACTCTATTTATTCAGGTGTAAAGTTTAAATGGACAAAACTGGCAGTTTAAGGTTAAAATTGACTGACTAAGTACAGGGGTAAAAAGTAACATTTTCCTAAATTCGATTATATGCAAAAAGTACTCCAGTGTTAGCAACCCAACTTTCGAGTTTCCACGAGATAATAAACAAGAGGAGATGATAACAAACAGAATGGCTTTAATGTTTTGATAACTGAACAAGTAAGCCTGTAGGAGATTGCACAGTTCGGAGGTTACCAGAGCCAATCAAATCTCGAATATGAAATCTCATATCGAGTGAAGAAAAACGAAGGCGCTTCTTCTGCAGAGAACTCATCATCATTTCTTTATATCTGCTACGTCTCAGCAAAGAAATGAGTTCCTTTCTACCCTGAATTAACAAAAAGAAAACAAAACAATACACACATCAGTAACTCAGTATTCTCATGGAATTTTAGGCCGTGTATGATAACTGTTTTATTTTAATTTTCTGCCATTAGAAGTTGTACGTGCTTTCTCATAGTTTCTTGGATGTATTTTTCACCGATCCTTAAAACTCATTTGAATCGTTAGTCACATTTCAAAAACAATAGAAGTTCTTACAAACTATTTAATCAAGTTAAATTGCAAGTTTAGTAACTCAACTTTTAATAATAGGTTATTGTCTAAAGTTCAAGAGTGTCTAATAGGTCCTTGTTACATTCATCATTTTGTAAAATTCACGGACCTATTAAGAATAGAAAGTCCGTTCACATCTCTTGGACTTTTGATGCTGACGTTCCAAGAAATATCCACCAGCTTCTGTGCGGGCCGCAGCTAAGCCCTCAAGTTTGGCTTTCATGGGTCAATGGCATCGAAGCTATTCTTTCGGAACTATGGTTTGAAAGGAATAAAATGATTTTTTAAGGCATAAGCAAGTCCCCTTTGGATTGCTTCAGTTTAACTAAGTTCAAAGCATCCCATTGGTGTCCCTCTAAGACTTATTCTCTAATTATACTCCTAGTTGATTTGTAAGAATTGAGAGGCATTTATAACTCCCCTTAGTTTTATCTCGTCTTGTCTTTCTCTCTCATCTCCCTCGGGAGTTTTTATTTTTGAACATTTTCTATTCATTTGATTAATCTGATTAATTACGAGGGAGTCATGCAAAACATTTACACATTAATAGGCCTGCAGTCCTCTAGAAAATTTCTCACTTCCAAAGGCAACTCGTTAACACGGGTAGCTGTCAATTTTTGCTCATTTAATGCACTTGCAAACTTTTAACTTTTCAAACAAGATCTCTCCGTTTGCCTCAATCATCTGCTTTTCATTTGAGTTACAATCAATCGCCAACTTTTCAAAGGAAAACTCAATATTTTTCCTTATGCAACTGCTCGAAATTAAAAACTAACCCCTCTGCCAACTTATCAGATTGCATAACCAAACTCTTTGTTCGGAGTGAAGACTTTTTAAGCCCGACATTAATGCTAGCTTCCCTCAATTATTTTAAGAGGCTTTGTCTGAAGAGAAAGACCTTTCATTCGTTTGAAAATTGAAAGAACTTGTCAAACAAATAGCTCGTCTTTTTAAAGGTTCACTATAAGAGGCTTTGGAGAAATGTTAGGGATATTCATCTCTATCAAGGTTTTATTAATTTAAAAAATGATGGCATTATCAAAGGGGCTTTAGCAGATGAGTTATCAAATTTTAGTGAGGATTAGGAAGTCAGCATTAGTAGCATTGATTCTTATTTGGATCATTACGAAGATTGAGTGGTTTTAGGTTGTTTCTTCTTTCTTTACGTCATTCTTCCACTCTAAAAGAAAAGAAGCTGAAATTGACTTTTTAGACGTTATTGAAGATCTTTCTCTTCTTTACAGCTCTACATATGTTTGAATGTCTAGCAAGTGGTTGCTTTTGGTAGCTTATTGGTTATAATAGCAAGCGGTTTTTATGGGGAGGTCAATTATTTTTGGCGTCTATTTCTAGAGCAAGACTTGGGAGGACTTTCTTCTCATCTTTTTTGATTCATCGTTTCATATTTGAACAAGACTTGGGAGGACTTTCTTCTCATCTTTGTTGATTCATCGTTTCATATTTGGACGCATGCGCTTCTTTATATGTTTTTTAAGGACGCATGCGCTTCTTTATATGTTTTTTAAGGCCTTGGGTTTGAAAGATATGCAATCTTTCCAAAGCTTTGTATTTTCTTTTCTTTTCGGTTTTTCACTCCTTTCAGAGGTTTATTTCCTTTGAACATTTGTTGTTTCTTTTTATTTTATCAATAAGTTTGTATCTTGTTTAAAAATAATAAATTCTCTGATACCTGAGAGATGCCTTTCAATACTGAACCAATACTTGGAATTGCAAACCAATACATGTTTGGATCAATAAGTTGGCGATTCTGAAAAGGACAACATATGTGTATATCATAACCAAACTCATCTAACATTTTTGAAAAATACTTGGAAGAATAAAGCGATGACCTTTCATTAAATATTCTCTTTTAGCAATTGAAAAGAGACCAGTTGGATCTATGTACAAATGGCCATAACAAAACCACAAATGGAAAGGAACTCTAATTCTTAAAAGAGTCCTTAAAAACAAAGAACTCCTGTGGTAGTTATCACCACATTTTCAAAATCTAGGTAAAGTTTTGAAAACTAAAAGACGTAGTTCTTAATAACTTGTTCTTATTTTCTAAAATCAAACATAATTTTTAAAAACAGAAAACTAAAAACAAAATAGTCATCCAATGGTAAAAACAAAATAGTCATCCAATGGTACCTAAATGACCTGTTATCTCAATTCTAAAACTACGCCTGCTGTTTTCCAAATTAATGGCAGTTATCACAAAGAAAGTAATTTGGAAATTGAGATGGTGGAAATTTGAAATAACCAGAAGCGTTGATGAGAATCTCAAGATTACTTACTAAGAGTCCAGCGTTCATCAAGAGGGAGATATCTTCATCTTTTACCTTTCCCCCAAGAGATAAGAGAGTGCACTGCAGCAAGAAAATATCCAGTTAAGTTTCCTTTCTAGCCATGTAATATTTTGAGCCCTTGAGTTCAAACAATTTAACAGGATTTACAGGTCAAGCACATTGCTCTGCAGAATGAAAATGAAGTTACCCTTTCTTAGAAGTAGAAGAATAGAAGAAAATGTCTGCCTTTCAAAGAAAAATCACAATGGATATACAAACGATTCATTGTTTCCTCATTTTTCTTATGGAGTCACATTTGAGGAGATACGCAAAGGTGATGGCTTTCTAATCTTATCTTGCATATTTAAGCTCTAGTGAGGTAAGGACTATAGGAAAATTTAACTTTCTAGGTAGTCTTTCTGAACCAGATAAGCTTGATAAGTGAAAAAAATTCCTGGAAGACAACTTCCAGAATGATTAAAAAAAATAACTAAATGGAGGAAATGAGGAAGAATTTAGGAAGACAGCTCAACAGAAGACAGAATCGCCATGGGGGAGAGCGCGAGAGTTATCATTAGGTGAAATTTGATTATTTATGTTAGCTACAAATGGCTTGGGGTCATCGAGTTATGCCAGCCTCTGAGAAAGAAGTCATCCAATCATTAGTAATAAAGAACTGATCAATGTTGATATTGACAAAGAGTTCTCTCAAATTGAAGGTAAAGAAAACCATTCCTCATAGGGAATCAAGGATATCAACCAAACTACAGTACTCAATGAAGTAACCCAACACCTTTATACTTCTGGTTCTGCTGTCCTACTAAACTTTTCATTCTACACCCAACAAATAATATTGTAATCTCCATCAAAGCCCCACTACTGCTGCAGAGACCCAAGCAGTCTCGAAGCTCCATCCATTAAACTCCTCCATACGGTTATGGGAAGCTGGCCTGTACAGCATAGTTCAGTATATGAACTCCACATTTTTGTCTCTAATTGTCATAACTCTGTAGCTCCAAATCCTTACACACGTAACTAAAATAAATGAAGGTATATTGCATGTCCTTTCAAGTGTCCATGCCTTAATGTTATAGCAATGACATGTCAGCCTGTCCATATCAAGTCAAGAATTTATGGTGCTTAACTTAGTAAATCATCATCAACCAGCATTAATTTGATTTCCATTCTGAAACAAGCTCTAGAAACAGCCAAAAGAGTATAAAGAGTCCATAGGAAGTATACATTTACTCACAAGCTCCTGATGTCCAATACTAGGTTCCAATTTGCAATCGATAACATGTGTCTTAAACCACTGAAAAACTTCAATGCCGCATTGCATCCTTTCTTCGAATCTTGATATCACATGGTCTATCTGTAAATAAATATAGAAGGGAAAAGAAAAAAAAACGAGAAAAATAAAGACAACTTGACAACCATGACAGTAATAAATGCCACGTTGAATACAAAATAAATCCACATGCTGAGTCATAGAAATAAAATAAAATAAGGGACTAATCCATCAAATACCTAATGGATAAAAAATATTTTATCAAAAGAATGTGGAAAGTACAAAACCTGAAGGGGAAGTTAATATATCCATCCTGCATCCTCATCCAAAGGCAATTAGAGAAGGAACTCCAATTGACAATTATCACAAAGAAGAATAATTATCGGGGCTGTCTTTTTGTAGGGCCTTCTTGTTCTTTTTGTATCTCTTTTCATTTTTCTCAATTAAGGCGTAGTTTCTTATCAAGGAAAAAAAAAAACAAGAAGAAGAAGAATAATTGCAGGACATTTTAGACATGACAAATCCAATTAGTCCTTAACTGTAATCTTTCGTTAAGAAATTCTACAATTACTTTTTCAACAATTGTTCCCAACAGAAAGCTTTCACTGAGCAAACTGGCATTCAACGATTGAGGAAAGCGAGAAGGCTGCAACATTTGGACCAAAACCAAGGAAACCCCAAGGGCCAATCAACCCCTTAAATTTCCACATAAAAATTACAAGTAAAGAAGATGTCCATGGAGAAATACCAGGTTTTGGGTTATGATAACAAAACCTTAAATAATCACATATGTCACTAAACATTAAATAAAACCAACCTGCTTCAGATAGTCATCCAGAAACATTATTGCATGATCATCTTGCCCAGTATTTAGTTTGAAAACGCGCACTACTTTTTCTCGTTTTAAACACTGCATAAAAGACAAGCTATGAACAAAGACCACCATAAACCAAATTTGAAATTTTTTAAAAAATGATAAAATTGAGGTAAGAAAATAAAAAAAAGAGAATAATATTTGAGAAAGCAATCCTAGACAGCAATATAATCAGTCAAGATCACAATTTAATGAGACAATTTGCTCTAATATGTTCGCATCTTTAGCACAAACTTGCGTTACTTTGTTTTCCAATGATTAGAAATGAGTTACTAATTAACTAACTTAAACCTTTAGCTACTTCTTTCATTCCTTCGGCAGACATGCAAAAAAGATCTTATCGAAGTGCCAAAACCCTAAAGCAAGCAAGATACAGCTGAAAACTTTTAGATGCCAGATTTTGTTCACTAATGAGGCTTCTGGAAACTCTAAAACTCAAATGTAAAAGATCATAATTGAAAAATAAATAAATAACGCAAAATTTCTCCAGAAAAATTAAAAATCACATTCTCAAGGATATTGCACCTTAAAACTACATGATGTTTGCGTCTAAACAATGCAGCATTATGCTAGTGGGAAGAAATCAGCTCCTTAAAAAATAAACTTCAAGCTTTGCAAAAGTCCGTAGGAGACTAATATTTTATCAAAATGCATAACTTGTACAGGATAAGTATTTTGTTTTCTCTTTATTTTAGATCTAATTCCTAGGAAACTCATATTTTCTGATGTGTAATTCCATATGATTAATAGTTGACTTTGTAAAGTGTGTTGCTCAAATATTGCCTCAAAAGTCACATACACTGAAAACTAATCTTCCCCTTACAGCCTTGCAAAATTTTTGGAGAAGAACTTGAAAACCTAGAAATTATGGAGCAAGAGAGAAGGAAAACAGTACAGACCTCCAATTCCCTATCTACTTCTGTTCTGTCTTTCAAACTACTATACAGCTGCGACTGCAAAATAAATGGCTGAACTGAAACCTGAAAACAAGGAAAAGTAAATGAACACTGAGAGTAATGAGCAATTTATAATCTATGAGCTTGAGTAGGATCGGCATCTTTTACAACAAAAGGCAAACTAAGGTGTAAAAGCTTCATAGAACGCAAAAGCAAGGCAGAAGAGAAGGCACCAATCTAATTTGTGAGGGCGGACTAATAAATAACTAGTGACTTACAGTATGTGCTGCACAATGAAATTAACTTTTCTTTCTTATACGTTACAGATAAAACATGCAAATTACTGTGGCCATATATGATTACATTTTCAATTTTTATCCTTGGGTGGTTACATGAGAGGAGAGTTCATTAGTATAGAAAAGATGTAAAATGAGCTCAAAGGAATAAGTCGTAAAGAACGTTACAAGTATGGTAGCTAACACATGGTACGGAACCTTCTTTTACAACTTTGCTCAACCTTCAAATTTTCATTCAAAACAATGCATTATCCAACCATTCAAACTTACCTTCAAAGTTTCTTTCAAAATGTGAAAGAGAGACGGCTATTTACCACTTTTTTTTTATGAGAAACCAACCTTTCATTGAGAGAAAATGAAAGGATATACAAAAAGCATACATAAAACAAGTCCGACAAAAGGAGATCCACCTAAACAAACCCCAATCCAAAAGAATGACACCTAACTAATAATTACAAAAAGCCTTAGACCCTGAGACTCGAAGAGAGATAATAAATCTAACCGTTTCCCAAACCTCCTCACAAAACCTCTCAACTTCCTTAAAAATTCTATTATTGCTTTCCAGCCAAACACCTTACAAGATGGCAAAAACAAGTCTGCCATAAGAAAAGCCCTTTATCCCGAAGAGGCGGAAAAAACAGCACATCCTCCAACGAAGCCCTACAATATCTATTACCTACCCAAGAAACCCCAAAAACCTCTAGAAACCGATTCCAAATAAGCTTAGCAAATTGACAATTCCACAGAATATGATTAAGGTCCTTAGAAGCATTTTTGCAAAGTACACACCACTGAGGCCTCAACAAGGAAGAATGTCCTTGGATACAATCCAAGGTATTAACTTTTCTATGTAGAACTTGCCAGACAAAGAACTTAACCTTCTTCGGAATTTGTACCTTCCAGAAGGGTGAAAAATCGAGGTGTTAAGGGGAAGCAAGGGGGCATTTTGAAGCTGAAAAAAGGAACTACAAGTGAAGCCCAAAGACGGGTGGCCCAAGACCTAGTCTTTCCTCCCCTACATGAGAAGAACATCTCCTAACAAAGCAAGCAGAGCAGTAGCATCCTGCGCTCCCCTATCCGTCATTCCAAAGAAATAGAGGGAGGATTTCCCCAAGACCCCAAAAACAAAGGCCACCGAATGCAACCTCGTTCCTTAAGGTGGTGAAAAATAAGAGCTCCATAAAGAAGCCTGAATTTGATGATCTCTCCCAGGCCTATCCTGAAACAATCTAAAGCTATCTTCCTTGCACACCTGAATGTCATATATAACATCACAATCTCCCAGAACCCTTGCCTTCTTGAAAGGATGTCCACAAATAAATGGAACCAAACACATTCTAGAAGATTCTAAGAAGCACTATACATCAAACATCTTATGCCCCATTTGAGAATTAAGTATACACACTTCACATGAGCAATAATAATAACAATTATAAACATAAAAAAATAAAAATAAAAATAACAACAGCAGAGAAACAAAGAGAAAAAAATTGCACCAAAGATTTATACATGGTCACCTCACCATTAACTGAGTTATATTCTGCCTTCTACAACCCTATAGGTTTGATCATGAAGATGAAGATTGCAATAAGAAGAAGAATAGAGAACACTCAGCACTATTGCAAGAATATATTTCATCTTTGTAGAAGTTACTCAAAGGATTTTTCTCTCTACTATCTCCCACTAAAGTCCCAGAGCTCTTGCAAATTGCAAACAACTCACCCTTCCCCAATGTGTGTAATTTCCCATAGGTTGTTCCCAAAACTGATTTGAAAATAAATTGATTATAGGGTGGTTGTCATGTTAGTGACACAGCACATGGTCTCATTACACTACAACGCAATGTCTTCCAGCCATACAAAGGAGTCTTCACTAGCTCGCACCGAAGGACATGCATCTTCAACCATGCCATGTTGCACTTGCACATCTATGCTCATGCGTCTTCAGAGATGCCTTTCGCGTGGTCTTCAACTAGGCTTTAAATAGAGCTGAGACCAAGTTTAATTGATGATCAAGCACCAAAATCTTAACGGTCTCTCACCTAGGGACTAATCAGCAATTTTCAACTCCTGCTGCATCAACAACTCCCACAACTTGACCCTTACTATGGGCTTATCTTCCAAGCATGAAAATATACCCATCAATACTTGTTCCAGCTAGAGAGCAGGATGTATCAGCATTCCCTTTGTCTGCCCATTGCGACCTCTGGAAAATGAAATTTGTGTCAGATATTTGATTTTTGTGCTCAAGCATGTAGCCAAAGTTGACTCACTCTCGGACACCTACACTACATTGTTTAACTCAAACCATTCACAATATTACGCCTGGATTGTGAGGTCTGGATTCAAAATGCAAACTTGTCATTACGCAACTACATCAATCTTGTAACACGTCTAACAACTAAGGCTATATCGGACTACTTCCATATTTTCACAATGGTTCTTCCACTTAGACCAATGGCTTAGAATCTAACTGTCCTCTGACTGCTAGATTTCTCTGTATCTGTTAAAGAAACATCAACAAGCCTATTGAAATACACACTGTGTAAGACTTATGACCTTCAAAACTTTCATGTTTCATCTATGCAAGTTCATGTTTCTTCCACTTGGACTTGAATTGAGTTTGTTTGATGATTAAACTCCATAATCCTAACAAGCACCACAATCCACAGAAAATCCTTTGTTCTCTCTGTCCAGTAGGTCCATAGAAAAACCGAAAGAATTTCCCACATAAAATTCCTCCGCAACTGGAAACCTCCATGGCCATGGAACATACCCGTGTCACTCATCTCCGATACATCGAATTCTCTGGCAGTAAATGACCCACTAAATATAATTATGAATTAGTCCTTTGAATAAGTTGAACATCCTCACGTACATATACTTTGACTCTCATCGTCATACTCGTCTAAAATTAAGAAACCTAAATGTGGGTACACAAATAGAAGTAGATTAAAGAACCAGAACCTTATCAATGTGGGGAAACTGAGCTCGCATCATGCGAAGCGCCGCCAAAGTATCGCTGAATGTAAGACAGTCCTCTGCATTCAAAGTAAACATGACATCTTTTATTAATCAATTAGGCCAATAAAATCATAGAAAATGGTCGGACGGTACCTAGGGAGATAGTTTCACTGTCATTTTCCTCGCCGTCCACTTCGATTTCGGCCTCTCGTCGGCGTTTCCTTGCTTTAGATGATTCTGAAATATTACTCATCGCTGCGGGAGGGAAACCGGCCACGCAGCAGATTGTTTGTTCCGCCTCAATTGAAATGGTGGAAGGAATCCTCTTTTTCCGAGTTTTGTGGACTCGGAAGCTTGTTTATCATATGGTTATGGCCGATTCCGGTTAGCCAAAATTCGGAATTGGCTCTCGCTCTGACCGCAAAGCCACTGCTGCGTCTACTCCCAACGAATTTCTCGTTTTTTAATATTCTTGTAAACGAAACTTATTTTAAAATATAGTTGTTTAATTAAAAATATTAAAAATATCGTAGATTTTGAAACTTATTTTAAAAATATTGTAGTTTTAAAAAACTGGAAAGTTGGTCGTCTCTTAAGAGACGACCATTAATTTTTTTTTTAAATTTCGAACCTAGGACAGATGAGATATAGAGCGACAGTACATCCACTACACCACTCAAGAATCTTTTAAGTAAAAGCTACTAAATAATATATAATATAAAACATTATATTTTTTTTTTAGAAATAAACTGACCGGGTGGTCGTCTCTTGAAGAGACGACCAACATTCAAATTTTAAAAAAAATTTATGTGGCGCCCGATGGTCGTCTCTACCCTTCACTTTTTTAAAACTACTATATTTTTAAAAAAAGTTTCAAAACATACCATATTTTAAACATTTTTAATTAAAATACAATATTTTTAAAATAACTTTTATTATTAACATTATTAATAAAAAACACCCGAATTTCTCCTTCACAATATTTGAGTTTTCTTTACAAGGATCGAACTACAGCCTCTTCCTCGGAAAATTGGACGGAATAGCGTTCTCAATAAATTTTATGCTTTTTAATCGGGGTTTTTTTAATATTATTATATATTAAACTTATTTTAAAAATATTGTTATTTAATTAAAAATATTCGAAATACGGTAGTTTTTGAAACTTTTTTTAAAAATATGGTTGTTTTAAAAAACCAAAGGATGGTCGTCTCTATCCCTCGTGGTCGTCTCTTCAACGTGGCGCCAACCATGCAACGTGGCGCCTGGCACCACGTTGCATGGTTTATTAAATTTTGACGATTTTGAACGTGGTCGTCTCTTGTTAGTTGGTTTGTTTTTTTTGTTTGTTGTTTTGTAATCTATTTTATTTATTCTTTTTGTTAGATTTGGGACCACTCCATTCCTTTCTTTCTGGAATTACAAAGGATAAAAGATATTTTTTCTTTGTTTTCTTTTATTATTATTATTCAATTTTATTTATTTATTTGTATTTTGTGCTATATTTAATTAGTGAATGTATCTAATTTATTTGTTTAATTCGTACATATATTTTAATTCGTTTCTTTATTGGATGAATTTAGGCAATTATAAAATCATATATTTATTTTGTGTTAGAATGAAACTTAGTTTAGTTAGATTTAATTGTTTTTAATTGTTAATTAATATATTATTTATTTGTTTAAATAGTATATATTTATGTAATTTATTTATTTTATTGATTTGCATTTTTATTTAATACATGTGGGTAATGTTTAATAAATTTAGGTTATTTATTTGATTGGTGTAGTTAAATTTAATTAGTACCTTAATTAAATATATCATTTTCCAATTTAGGATTGAAATGGTAGCTAAATGTTTGGCGATTGTACTGTATATGAATAGAGGTACTGTTGATAGTGTAAATGAAATTGACTACGATGGACCGTCAAGTGGAGCTTTTACTGTGTACAGTGGTATTGAATTTGAACATTTTGTTCAAATGGTTGGGGTGTCACTGAAGTTAGATATGGGGAGGAATAAATTAGAACTTGTTTATAGACACCCTAATCAAACATCATCAGGTTCCATTAAATATATTCCTATTCCATTAGAGAACCAGAATGCATTGGATTTAATGTTCTCTATTGCACCGCCATGTCCACAATTAGTGGAATTATATGTGAATGTTAGAAATATGACGAATATCCCATTTGACCTCGATGGTGAACATGATATCCCTCTTGAATCATTGGATCTCGAGGGACCCAGCCAATGTCTTGACCATAGTCAATGTCTTGATCCCGAACCTGAGTTAGTTGTACCTCCAACGACTAATTTAGATGAAGATACAGACTTAACTGCTGATAATAGGTTTATAGAACTCAGGACAGCGACAGATGATGAGTTTGATGAATTGGAACTCAAGGGTGAACATGAGATCCCTTCTCAAACATTTGACATGGACAGTGTTAACAGTATTGCAGAACACGAGTCCATGTTGCGACCAGTGACAGTTGAAAATGATATGTTGTACAAGGGGTTCATGTGTAATGATAAAAGAACTATGCAACATATCGTTAAACGTTTTGCTGTAAAGAGTCACCATCCTTACGAAGTTGTAGAGTCGACACCGTCTATATGGGCAGTTAGATGTAAGAAGTGGCAAGATGGATGCAATTAGCGACTTCGTGCGATTCTTAAGAAAAGTATTAACTTATGGGAGATTACAAAGTACGTGGACGAACATTCTTGCGTATATTCATAATTTAATCAAAGTCATTGTCAATTGGATTCAAATATGATAAGTAGAGAATTTTGTGATGCAATGAGAGCTAATCCTTCTACGAGTATTGCGACACTTCAAGATCTGATCAAGGAAAAATTTGGATATCATGTTCCTTATGGGAGGGTCTGGGAAGGAAAAACAAAAGTTTTGGCTCGTATTTTTGGTAACTGGGATGAGTCATATCAACTTTTGTCAAAGTGGATGTACATGCTGAACACACTAATCCAGGAACAATCGTTGAATGGAAAATTAGGAACTATGGACAACCGGGTCATGACATTCTTCATTCTGTATTTTAGTCATTCGATCATTGCATTGCAGCCTTTCAAAAGTTTCGCCCCGTGCTTCAAATAGATGGTACTCACCTTTACGGAAAGTATAAGGAGAAGCTATTGATTGCATCATCAGTCGATTCAAATGGACATTTGTTACCTCTTGTGTTTGCCATTGTAGACGAAGAGAGTAGTCAGACCTGGGGATGGTTTTTAAAAAACCTAAGAAAAGTTGTTACGCATGAAGAGATATGTTTAATTTCATATCGATATGGTGGTATTATCTCTGCGGTTAATAATCCAGATAATGGTTGGACCGGACCTAAATCGCATCACAGATTCTGTCTACGACATGTTTCTAGCAACTTCAACCATAAATACAAGTGTAACGAGTTGAAAGATTCGGTACAATTCCAAATTCGAAAGTATAACAAGGAGGTGAAAAATATTAAATTACTGAATAGTTCTTGTATGAATTTCTTCCGCAACATTGGGATTGAGAAGTGGACCCTATCACATGATGGTGGATATAAATATGGGTGGGCGACAACCAATCTTTCCAAATGCATTAATGGGGTGCTGAAAGGAGCTCGGATGTTACCTATCATTGCCTTGGTAGAACTTACATTCTACCGATGCGTAAAATATTTCGAGAAGCGGAGGGAGGAGACAAGAGATTCTTTAAGTAGAAACGAAAAATACACCAGGTATTTTTTAATGCGTTGTTTACTATCCTTGCATTATGTCAATGTTGTTAACTTACATTATCAAGCTTAATAGGTATGCTTACGATAAGCTTGTTAGATGGGCCGCGAGATCCACCAAACACACTATAGTCAATTAATAATAAAACTTATTTTAAAAATATAGTTAATAATATATTTGAGGGGATTTTTTTTTAATATAGTTAATAATAACTAGAGATTAAAGTGAATTTTTAGCTAATAAATTAATAAATATACCCAATCATTTGTATTTTAATTAAAATATTAAAAATAAGGTATGTTTTGAAAACGCTATTGAACACTTATTCACTCAAAAAAATAAAAAAAATTAATAAAATATAATAACAAAAATTAATGTGGTCGTCTCTTTAAGAGACGATCACGATTAATAAAAAAAAATGAGATGGTCGTCTCTGACCATCTCCCAAATTTAAAAGAAATTTACGTGGCGCCACGTTGCATGGTCGTCTCTTCAAGAGACCACCATGTGGGATGGTCGACCACGCTTCACTTTTTTAAAACAACTATATTTAAAAAAAAAAAGTTTCAAAACATACCGTATTTTAAATATTTTTAATTAAAATACAATATTTTTAAAATAAGTTTTATTATTAACTATATTAATAAAAAAAAACCCCTTTTTAATCACCCATCTCAAAATCCTATGTTTATGACATCACTCCATTCCTAATTCCACTCATTTTTTATATTTCTCTTTTATTCTCTCTCTTTCTTTTTTCATAATATTTTTTTTCTTCTCTCATTTTTCATTAATTTTTTCTTCTATCATTTTCCATTAATCCATTCTTTTTCTCTTCCGTCACAGATTTTTCCTCCCATTCTCTCTAAAATTTTCTTACGTTACTCGCTCACTTCTTCTTTATTCTAAAAAAATCCTAAATCTCTCGACCTTCTCTCTTTTTTTTCTTTTCTTTTTAACGAGCAGCCTCCATGATATACTGGTGACCTTCAATAATTACCAGCGACGGGTGCATCAAAATTGACGAGGGAGGTCGTTTGTCGAAGAAGGAAGCTCATGGAAGGAGAAAGTTCGGCCTAACCATGGGGATGGTGATGGGGAAGGAGATAAAGAAAGAGAGTTGAGCGAGAGAGAGGGAGAAAGTTGAGCTAGAGAGAGAAAGTTGAGCGAGAGAGAAAGTTGAGCAAGTGAGAGAAAGTTGAGATAAAATGTTATCTAAATAATAATAATAAAAAAAAATTTAGTTAATTTAAATGAAATCCTAATCTAATTAAATCGATCATAACTAAACAAATAAATTTCGAAACACTTTAATTAAATTCAAATTTAAAATGAATTAACAAATAATTAGAGATTAAAGATAGTTTTAATTAAAAATTTGAAAATTTAAAGATTCTTTTAATTAAAAATTTGGAAATTGGAATTGAAAGAAACAGAATCTCAATCTCTCCTCAATCTCCTTAATTTTAGTCATTTGGTATTTAAATTTAAAATTTAATCTAAATTTGTTTCCTTAAAATTCTACTAATCTCCTTAAATCTCATTTAATCTCTCCTAGTTTTAATTATAATTGAATTTCAAATTTAAAATTTAATTCACATGGTATCTTCCCTATCATTACATGAGAGAAAAAAAACAATGGCCAGAGCGGGAGAGAGTGGGAGAGAGCGAGAGCGAGAGAGAGAGCGAGAGTGAGAGAGCG